TGTGTGTGTGTGTGTGTTTAAGAGACAGAGGAATTCAAGAAAGGAGCAAAGCAGGACACTCCAAACATCCAGGCAGCAGGAGACGATGGCTGTACCGCTGTAAGTTTAGAAGGATAGAGAGATGGTACAGTGGAAACTTTGACTGTGGCGACTGGCCTGGGATTTCTCAACTTAGTCTGTCCCCTCAAGAAAATAACCACGCTGATTGCATGGAAGAGGGTTGGTCATCAAACAGACTAAATTTAAGTATTTCTCTTCACTATCAAACCATAAAGTATGGTTTCTTTCCATTTAAGACTGACTGACAAAAGGATTTAGTGTTAATTTTCCTATTTTAATCAAATTTAATATCCATTTAAAGACTGAACCATGAAATAATTGTCAGAAAAAAAATTTCTGGCAATTTTTTTGAATAAATAAATAATGATTTGCATATATGATTTTTAATTGGTATCACACAAAACTCAGGTATCAAATACGATAGACCAGGCGTTAACATTTTCCACTGTAGCATGCACCATACGCATTAAATACAGCTCCAAATCTTAACTGAAACTCTATTTAAACTGTTAAATGTGGCTTCAGTGGATGAATCTGTAAATGAAAAATTGAAGTTCTGTGAAATATGCATTATATTGATACTCAGGTGTGGAGTGCACTGAAAAGCTGGTTTCTCAGTCGTGAACATGCCCTTGAGCCTTCTGAATGGTTTGCCCACTGTAGAAATCTAAATCCAACAGCTTTACAGAGAGGCAGCGAGATTAAAAGCACAGTCATAATTACTAAAGTCAAACAACATTACAAATATCCTGTAAACTCTTAACTGCAACAGAAATCCCAAATTCTTTCATTATTAAACCATCCCCATGTGCTCTGTGGTGTTGAAATGACTCTTTGGGAACTAACAGCATTTGACGTGTACTCCTTACCGTATGGGGTCCTCTGACTCATCCTTGTCATACTGATCCCGTAAAGTCCTGGCCAGGAAGAAGATGACTCCAGAGGCCACCAAGAGGAAGCCAGCTACAGAGGCAATCGCTATGCCAACAACCAGCGGCTCGGACACGTACTCCTCGCAATGTTCTCCTCTGTACCACCAGTTCTCCCCGACGCGACACCTGGGGATGACGTTGGAAATTTTTCAAAACCGCGATAACATTTTTTTCCAGTGCTCAAAAACCGAAAAAGACGAGAAGCATTGGAAACAGCAGAAGATGAAAATGCTGCATCCCACATCATGATTCATACATACACGTCATGCGTCATGTTGTAACGTCTCTTTCTTTCACTGAATAACAAAAATCTTTAAAAAGTCATCACTGACGACAACAAGTCATTAAATCATTAATACTTTTGGAATAAAGAATCAACAATTCACACCACTCGCTTGGAGCACCACAACACTTTTGTTGGACGGTGTGAGGTAAACAACGATCCAACAGCATCTGGAGCTGCCTGTGTGTTTTACGATGTGGTAGTGGGTGTGAAACAAATGTTAAGCACTCATCTTGGAACAAAGGCCCGTCCTTGTTTGTTCATAATCACTCAAGTTAAGCACACCACATACAAAATCGTGAACATAGCCACTGGACATATTTCTGTCACTGATGTTGGATTGTTCTTGGCACGTCATCTTGTGCACAACTTACACACCACATACAAATTTGCATGTTTGGATATAGATGCATATGCACAGATCTTTAGTCACACAAAACAAAACCTGTGATCATCAGGAATGTCTTGGAAAATATGTAAAAGCATCTAAGGTAGTATAAAATTTAAGAAAGGGTTTGGACCATATCACATTAAACTGAAATCTTTTATCCTGGAGCAGAGAAAATTAATCACCATGTTAATCACATCTTAGCGTTACTGTTTTCAAGTATGTACAGGGCAACAAAAATAAATGTCTTCTGGTGTAGATAACTGAATATTAACTGGCAAAGTTTTGAGCCTTTGCAGATTTGCTAAAATCTAATACATTTTATTTTTAGGCACCTTTAAAAACCCTCAAGGACAAATTACATTAGTACAGCAAATTAAAAACATATACACAACAGTGATCAAAGTAACAATTGACTAAGACTATGTTACAATGAATGGTATGCATTTCTGAACAGATGGGTTTTGACCCATGATTTAAAAATAGAAAGAGAATTTATGGTGGAAGTGCACACCAAAGTCATGGGGCAGGGCAACGAAAGGCTCTGAGTCACTAAGTCGTCAGATGAGCAGATGGAATAAACAAAAGAGAAGCTGAAGCGGAGTATGGGAGAGGGTAAGGTCAGAAAATAAATCTGGGCTGGTCTAATTATATTTTGTACCCAACAAAGATATAAAACATAATCTTCATTTTATTTACTTATTTATAATTTGCAAGGCCAGCTAGATTTATGGGGAGACCCAGCTAGCACTTGAAAATCTGTTTATGTGATGGAGTACTAGCCTCACAAATCTGCAAACTCAGACACACTATCCAGCACACAATCTCAGATCACTTCCCCTAATCCCCGCCTGTCACCCACCTGCAGATGGCTCCCTGGCCAGGGATGACGTCGCATTTGCCGTCATTGAGACAAAAGTCAGTCTGCAGCTCACAGATGCTCTGACAGGGCAAGCCATCCACGCTGAAATACCCAGCATTGCAGACGCACTCTGCCTCCCCAGACCACTTGTTCACTTTACACTCAGCGTACTCGTTACACGCCTGGAACTTACAGGGATCGGCCTGGTCACCTGTAAAATAAAATAACCTTCTCAAATGTGCATGGTCAAGAGAACTCAGACTACAAATGAACTACAAATTGAAATAGCTAACAACAAACGGACACGTACTAGTTGGCTTATGTAATCCAGCTGAACCCTGGAGTTAGTTACTATACCGGGATATGTCATTCTACTCACACTAACCGGTTGGTCAGAGTGAACAGTAGATAATGATATGTGTCAACATGGCTGCAGTCCAAGGAAGCCTGATTATCTCATTCCAGCTTATCTGTTTGTGACGCTCAGCTCTGCCACAAGTCACAATAATTCAATTCAGTTCAATTCAATTCAGTTTTATTTACGGAGAGCTAATTTTAAACAAGAAACCTTCAGCAGAAGCAAACTCAGCAAGGGGAAAAAGGGGTTGGCAAGGTTTTGTAGGCTTTTGCGCACTGTGCTATACTTTGCCTTAGAATACCTTAGAATACTTTGCAAAGCAATATTCTAAGGTGACAATGAAGTAAGTGTTTAAAATTTATGGAAATAAGCCAATTGCCTTCTTTGCATGAGTTTGTTATACAATGCTAGCATGAAAGCATTTAAAAAGGCTAATTTAGATCCCCAAATACATGCAAGGAAGTAGCTAAAGATAGCTGGTGACAGGTGAGACTTTCTCATAGAACAGTGGTTCTTGGCAACAAGAACAGAAATAGTGATTTCTTTAGGAGACCTTTGACAGGGATCTCAGGAAGAAGTGCTGTCCTTATGACAGCACTGGTTGTCAGTGAGAACATACCTGATTCAACATCCAGTGAATACTTGTCAATGGCCAGGTTCATGGTCTGGTAGGCTGTGTTACAAAAGTCCTCCAAGATTAAGTAGACAGTTGTTGTGACGCCACGAGCCACAGGCTTCCCGAATTTCATCCGGCTGTTGACTACAATGCTCCCATTTCGGAAGTTCAAGATCTCCAGGTTCTCAAAGTGACTGAGGTTGGATTGTAGGTAGGGCACAAGCTAGGGAACAGTTGAAAAATGTGCAGTTTGATGTTACAAGCAAAAGGATTTTACACAGGATTGTGAATAATGAAAATAACAAATACTGCAAGACGCAGGCATTTACCAGCTCGAGGAAGCGTTGCTCCAGAGCTTTGTACTCTGGGGAACTCTTGTTAAAGAGATCCTCTGAGAAGATCATGTTGGTCACCCTCAGACTAAAGAAAACCATTAGTGCTCGTCCAGGGTTTACAGGCATGGCAATACTAGCCTGGTCTGTGCCGTGGCCCACACCTATTGGGAATCCGGTGCTGCCCTCCTCTGTGTGGTTAATCAAACCATAACCATACTGAACCACATTATAACCATGGTCTCCAGTGGTGGTATCGTCCAAGCCATCATCAGTAGTCTGGATCTAGGCAATAAGAAAGTAAAATGATTTGATTATCAGATGCAGACAGCATACATTTTTTGTTCAAAACAAATCTTGTTTGATTCTATTGCTTTACCTCCACTAGTAAAGGCATGTCTGTGTCAGGCTCATCATCAAAATCAGGGTTTACATAAGAGATACGGGTAAAGGGTGACTCCCTCTCTGGAGACAGAGCAGTTGGTTGGGCAGGGCCCAGAGAATCTGTCACTGGTGGTTCAGGAACATCTTTGTTAACCAGTAAGATTTCATCATCTGTAAGATCTTCTCTAGAGATCTCTGGAGTTTCTGGAGGCTCTTCTACTACAACTGGAGCTTCAGACAGAGCCTCTTCATTTCTTTCGTGATCCTGATTTTCTACTGATTCTTCCAAGCCATTCTCTTCAAATACAGGTTCCTCGGGGCTGGCCGACAGCACATTAATGGCTGAATTTTCTGGTCTTAGGGTGTTAGCCTCCTCATTAGCAGGTGAAATATCTGCAGGGTTAGACTCTTCTGATGTCCCCTCAATGGAGTTATCGCCAACAGGAAGAAGACTCATCTTCGGTGGCTCTGGCTGTGATGCTTCACTAGTTATATCTACAGCATCTGGAATTGGTATTTGGGCAGGTAGACCCTTTTCTTCCTTGGTTTCAGTTATGACAGTAAAGATTTCAAGTTCCTCTATAATCTCAACAACATCATCTGGATTCTCCTCTTCCATAGGTACAGCTGTAGGTCCAAATGTCTCTTCCTCAGCTCCAGATGTAACATCTGCATTTATGGTGATTTCTTCTGTTTTCACCTCTTCCTCTGAAGCAGTTTCCCCAAGGGACATTTCCTCCTCTTCTGGAGTGATTGTAGATGGTTCAATTAGCCCCTCCAAAACATCTGGGACTGAACCAGAGGCTTCAATTTCTACTGGGGGTTCAGGCAGTGTGACGCTTCCTGGCAGTTCAGCTGGAAGGTCTTCAGGTGGAGGAGGTTCTACAGAGAAAATCTGCACAGTATCCTCCAGCAACAAACCCTCCTTCTCAATCCCTGAAAAAACAAAGATAAGAAGAAACTCACTCTCTATTATAGAAGATATCTGACATATGATATCTTATGATATTATGATATAAGAACTAATGAAAAAGGTAGTCTTGTATAGCTGGAATGCTATGTGGAAAAATAAAGCATCATGTGTAAAATTGCCCAAATAACACTTACCGGCAGCTTCAGGTATACGGAAGGTCAGATCAAGAGCAGGAGATGCAACTTCACTCTCCTCTAGAACAATAACATTATTTTCTATTGTTGCCGCTGTGTTGGTTTCTGAAGATTCACTTTTGATGTCCTCTTCCAGCGTCAGGACCTCTGGCGGCTTATCAACAGCACTGATCTGCATCACAAACAGGAGCTCTGATTGGCCAGTCACCAGAGGCAGAGATTTTTAATCTTATCCCCAAACACCCTTTTTACTTTGGTGACAGTGGGAAGGAAAAACTCCCTTTCAACAGGAAGACACCTAGATATATCATGAAAGTTAATTATAGTAAATGCCTGACTTAATGCAAAGCCAGACACATCAGGAGGATTATGTGTGAGCCATGGCAGAGAATGGAGTGATTGCTTAATGCCAACTTTAAGGACACTGCTGGTATGTTAACCAAGCTTTGTTGTGAAATACTGCTTAATCATCTTTTATTAGAACCACATCTAGTGTTGAGGTAAACACTGTGTGTGTAATTAAAGACTGAACAAAGTTAGTTGAGAGTTAGTTGATGGTGTTGCGGTGTTTAACACTGTTGCCTCACATCAAGAAAGTCCTGGGTTTGAATCCATTCTGGGGCTTTTCTATGTGGGTTTTCTCTGTGTCTGTGTCTGGGTTCTCTCCAGGTACTCTGGCTTAGGTTACATGGTGATTGTAAACCAACCTTAGGTGTGAACGCAAAAGTAAGTGGTTGTCTGTCATTCTGTGTTAGCCCTGCAACAGATTGACGGCCTGTGCTGTGACAGGTAAGACAAGCTCAAGCCCTCTTGCAACTCTGAATTGAGTAACAGGAAGAAAGTGGATAGTTGGAGCTTTCAATATGTATTCTCATGAATGTGTCTTTGTGTTGCATATACTTGTTAACCAAGAGGAAATGTTGGTGCCTGGTTAAATCACGTTACTTTGGTGAAGTGTGTGATGATTGAAGACTGCACAGCTGAAACTTGAGCTACCTTACAATAATGATTGTACCGTATATCTATATCTATATCTATATCTATATATATATATATATATATATATATATATGATATAGTTGATGAAAATATAGTTATATAGTTACTATATATATATATATATATATATATATATATATATATATATATCTGCACAAAGAGCTGTGATGCAAACTATAAGAGAAAGGTCTGTACATCTATGTGTCCTATCACCTCCTTATAGGTTGGCATATCTCAATGAAAATGTGCACAGACATAGTCACACATACAGCTATCATTAATGTATTTTTTTAGAGAATTACATACAGTTTTTGTGAGTTTTTGAGTGCGTGTGTCTGTGTGTACTCTTTCTATTAACTGCTGCTAAACCACCCAGGTCTTTCTGAATAACTGCAGAGCTTTTATTTCAATATCTGTATCAATCTATATCTCATATACCGTAGATATATAATTATATGTTCTTGTTCCTGTGCTTTCACATTAAGTCTTAGTGGTCCAAGTCTTAGTTTTGCTCATGGACCTTGTGTTTTTGTAGTGCATTAAGCTAATTCCCTAATTCCTTTTTATAGTTAAAGAATTTCTACTATACTACTTTTGCTATTGTATCTATTTAGTTTGATGGCTCATCACAAGATTCATATTTCTCATAACAACCAAATGAAATCTTTATTTAAACCGTTCCAACTTCAAATCAGGGTAGAAACTCTCCAACCTCATACCATGTGTCAAATTATCAGGCTATGCTGAAAACGTGACCAAAGCAAACCGAACTGTGATTATCATTAAAAGCACACTCAAACACAAGAGAGCACGAACAGAGACATACTTTAGATGGTATTGCTTGTCTAGATAAATTCTCATGTGCAGTCTCTGTTGACTCATGGCGCTGTGGTGCACTGCAGTCTCTGCCCAAGAATAGCAGTGGATTATTACAGCAAGAACCAAACTAATCCTCAAAGCTTCACTTCATCCTTGCTAGTGAGCTCATCCCCTACCTGAGCTGGTGTAGTCTGGATAACATCTCAAGGCAGTTACGGGTCTTCACCACGGTGTCTTTTAACAAAAGCGATGTACAAATTCCAAGCAGCTGGATCGCCTGGAGAAAGATTGTTTTCATGATAGCTGTGGAGGTAACTTGTTACTCACCATGGCTCCGTCTTCAGTGTTGATAGAGTGAGGAATCTCAGACACTGTGGAACCACAGAAGAAACAAACATTAACAAAAACTGACATACAACACACAAACGTGCCAAATAGCCTAAATATTTCTGCCTGCCGGCGTATTCAAAATTCTGTTAACTGTTAGTGTTTCAGCACAGACTGCCTGCTTTTTGACGGCGTCACCTCCAGGGGTAAATATCTACAAATCAGTGCTAAAATCTGGAATAAATATCAGCCACTGTGGTCCAAGGCTATTATTGCATCACCACCAAGGCAAAAAAACAAAGCCAAAGCTGTGTCTTTAAGTCCCCAAGCCACATGTGTAAGCCATATGAGAATGTTTAGCCATCATTTTAGATGTCACAGCCTATAACTAATATGGAAATGAGAGGGCATCCATCCTTAAACGTGCTTGCCTTTGCAGTAAACTAATGACCTGCAGTCTTTAAAAACACGAGGCTGAAGAAATCTCACAGGAGATTTCTTTAATTATATGTTAACGTATAATTAAATGACCAAAGTAAAAGGTAGGTAGGATATTGACTGCCTGAGTTTTTAGGTGGCATATTTAAAAAAAAAAAAAATCATTGTGTAAAGGTGTCTGTGATTGGGTGAATGGGACGAGGTCACAGGTGAGGCAACGTCTGTTTGGCTAAAGACAAAGATTTCTCCATTGCAGTGTCGCCAACATTTAGACATGTTGACTACTCAGTAGTAGTTACTGCAATATTACCATCTGCAACTTTGTTTTCACTTTGTGAGTCTGTTTGCATCTCTATGTTGAGATCATTTGGGGAAAATGAACAGCTCAAAACACTTACTGCAGCAGAAACTACCACAAAGCTGGCTGCACAGCTGGATCAACTCCTTTGCAAGACGGACTGTAGTTATATATATACTCATGGATTGGAAAGAGACATTAAAGACAGACACAAGGGATTCAAACAGCCTATTATTGAAATACAGTATGTATTGTTTTGTTTTTAATCAGACCTGACCTGTGATTCTGTATATGCAGTTTTTATATCCCACTGTAGTCTCACATGACTGGCTTATAGTTTCAGTTGGACCAACCAAAGTTTGTGACCCAGTTTTGCGCTGTTGTCACATCTTGGCAAAGTCTACAGACAACATAAAGAATTGCAAAAGTACTCAAACAGTCTTTGAGATAGTTCTTGCCACAGAAGGTGTCTCCAGGAGCATATCTTGCTTGGATAACACATTCACAGACTCACAAGGTTAAAATAATCCCCGCTTCAGTCTCTCAAAACTCAGACATCTGCATAAATATGTAGAATCTGTAGGCAAGGGACAGGATTTGGGGGGATACATAAAGTAGTGTGAATGCTATTGATCAATATCTATGATACACTTTAGAGGAAAGCAGGTAAACAGTCCATGTGGAGAACAAAACAGCAATGACATTAATGCAAACCCACTGATTAACAATGACTGTATGTGTGTATTCTCTTATTGTATTTTCAGCACCATGGTGCACTGTGGGCAATGTTATTATCACATATCGACACTTCAAAAAAACATAGGGAATAAAATAAACCATATCTTTGCTTTGAATATGCCTGCTTCCAGTCTGACCATCTTTAAAGGAGAGCAATGCTAAGTAGGTGAAGTCAATTTTTAAGAGTTCACTGTGAGATCCAAAATATGTATGCCCAAAAAAAGAAAGGATTACAGTAAAGTCTAAAAATCTAAAGCTCAGATTTCAAACATCCTTTCTGCTGAGTTCTCCTTTGCTGACCATTTAATGACAAGGATTTAACTGACACACTGAATAAATACACAGTTCCTATAACTGATGACTGTTATTTGTCCATTAAAAATGGCCCAGTTGTGGGACTGAAACTTGTCTCTGTCCATTTGACAGAAAGAGAGTCAAATAAAAAACAGATGAGACTATTAAAAGCCTGGAATGTTTTCTCAAGTGACGAACGGTGTGTTTTAATATCAGTGCAATGTCAACAGCGTCTCTATTTGACATGACACATGTAGGTTTGCCCTGCGATGCACGCACCACCTTTTCCAGTGCATTCCCAGTGACTCCACTGCCATGCTGGCAAAATAAATCTCTGCAGTATAGTGGAAATATGAGCGTATCAGTTTAAGGAATATCTTTAGGAAGACTGGCAGTAATGCACATCATCTTACCACTCTCCAGCTTTTTGTCATCTAGGTCTTCAATGAAAATTTTGTTGTCCTCACTGATGGTGAGGACCACAGTGGGGTGCTCCTTGAACTCCCGATAGGAGTTCTCCACTTGGTTCGACTGTAGGGTCAGGTAGTTCAGTTGTTCAGCGGTCACTCCTGCTCCATTCACCACCACTGTGACGGCATAGTCCACCACCAAACCACCAAACCTGCTGACACAAGTATGCTGTTGTTATATTATATCAAGTTCATATAGTGATCCAGGTTAGGCCCAGGGACAATTTTAATATAATTTTCCTATATTTTGGGCAACTGCACTCTCATATTGTACTTATGTTATGCTAATTATGATTTAATTCTTCACTATAAATATATTACGTTATTGATAATCCCCACCTCTAATCTCTCTCCTTTAAAGCTCCCATTACCGCTCCACTACAGCAGCAAGTTTAAATATTTAATTTAAAATAAGCAGAGAGGGTTTCTCATGCATTTTCATGACCAGTATATTATTATCCCATTCAATAGTTTACATTTATCCTTTGCACACAATTACACTAAAGGTATTAGAGGGAAAGAGGAAGAAAATTGTTCAGGCATTAGCTTGATTTAATGATAAACCTTTTTTTAAAAATTGTAGAACGCTAACATATGACTGATGAATCGTGTGATTTATTCTTGCTTGGAACACAGGAGTGTGACTGTATAGCGCTAAAGGAGCCGAGTCAGCAGAATGATCAATATCATCATAATAAACATGGAAACCTCACAAGAGATTCCAGAGCCTGGAAAAAGCCATCTATCAGGCTTCATTTGACTACTGGGAGCCCTCCATGTCCATGCTGACCTAGTTTGTTGGGTTACTGGCAGACAGCTGAGCACGTGCTGACCCAAAGTCAGCCCCATTTAGAAGGAGATCCAGTTCACAAAAGGGCAGTCAGGCAGCGCTCTGCTCCTGCTGTGCCTTGTAATTTGGAGTTAGAAGTTGCATGCAAGGTTGATTACAGCAATAAATTCATTTCTTACTCACCTATTTAATGTATAGCCATAATTTCATGAATAAATAATATTCAGAGAACAGTTACCAAAAAAACTAATGACTGCTTCTAACTATTATAACTATGTTTATTCAGGTATTGAATGTGAGCAAACATACAAGGTATATAAACGTTGATTTCATTGCACCTCAACAACAAACTTTGTACCCTACAACATTTATCAGGCCTTTTGTATTTACAATTTTCTACACAGATTCATAGAATAATAAATGAATACTTCAAACAGACGACATGTGTTGTTTTCTCTTGTTTTCCAGAGGTTGTGAGAAACACATTACTCTCAAATCTTACTGTTAAATATGAAGCCCTGACCAGTTAGCGTAGCTTAGCTGTAAACAGCAGGGAAGACTGTTTTTATACAACCCCTTTGCAAAAAATGTTTTGGCGCTGCATAAAATGTAAATTAAAAACAGAATGCAATGATTTGCGGATTTCATAAACACAAATTCACCGCTGTGTAAACAATCTTTAAAATGCCTGTGAACTGAGATCATGTCCACGTATGGCTTCTTTTGTGGATGGCAGAGCTTTAACCTGCATTTGTGGATGGTGCTGAGGAAATGTTCTGGAAACGTTCCCGAGCTCTTGCATTAATTTCCATGAAAGAAATGGGCTATTTTCATGCAGTGGCATTTAAGGGCCTGAAGACCAGGAGCTTCCAATACAGATTTTTGGCCTTGTCCCTTGTGCACTGCCAGTCTTTTTATCTTTTGGTGGTATTATTCCATCAAATTCAAAATTATTTAATATTTGTCATGAAATAGCCTCACTTTAAGTATTTGATAATATGGATTTATGGATTTTTGTGTCCCAACCCTTTACACAGCATCATAAATGTTGCGGAATTGGGTTTATATGTCCAACGATAAAATACCAGCACACCTAAAGCTCAATAATCAGTGCATAATAGCCAATGTGTTTATTCTGCACACACAAAAATAATGTCTAACAAAGTTGCATTTTATGAAAAGTTATATCAAAGCTTCTAGGCGCTGCTGGATTTAACGATTCCTGGAAGTTCCTCGTTCCAGTCAACGATCCAGCACAGCATATTGCAAACTAAATTCTTAAACTGTCATTTATCCCCTTCTGCTTTTGTTCAGCTCAAACAAACCAGTTCAGTTTAGCTTTCCAAATAGCCATTTCCCTCTGTTTCCAATTTTTGTTAAGCTAAACTAACATGGTGCTGGCTGAAGCTTTTGTACCAGTCCCACATAAGCATGAGACCTCTCATCTAAATCCCCATGAGGGAACGTACAAGCAGATTGTTTGACCCTGCATTCTGTTTGTTGTCCATTCACTTGCCTTTTGTAATTCCCTTATTTTTCTCCATTTCACCACACAAACAGGTTATTTTTGCCGATAACTCCACTCATTTCCATCCTTCCAGGTAAAGCTCAGATTATCGTCTCTATACAGGAGCACCTGCTCACTTGGTTCGACCCACCCTGATCCCACTTAACAGGTGAGTGACTGCATTAAGTCCATTAACACAGGCAACTAGTGACACAGCTTAACACGTGCCCACGCTCACAGGTAAACACAGTGTGAGATGAAGCTGGGGTCACACACATACACAGCTCTAGTTAAGGTTGATAGGGATCTGTGGGCTTAAACACAACACAGGATGGGGAGAGCTATTCAAGGTCGAAGTACCAGAGCGACTACTGATGACTCACCCCTCTGCGTCATCTTGCGGCCTGTGTGAAACAAGCGAGATCTGTTAAACTTCTGCCGAGAGCTCAAATCACGATACAAGTATTACAAAAAGAGGCGGCTTTAAAAGGCCATTTGTTCTGACAGCCATAATCATTGGAGAGAAGCTGACCTGAAGTCAGTTACAGACACACTTTTAAATCCAGGAAGCCCCTCCAGAGCGTCTTCTATCTGCAAAGACAAAGTTGACCAGGCATCAGAGTGGAAACCGCAGTTAATTTGTTTCTTATTTCGAGTGGTTTACAATGAACTTGCTTGCCAAAACAAATCTCATTTATTGTTCCAAAAGGACTTGTTTCGTTCAAAGTACTCGAAATGTCGTCCCCGGATTATTTTCCTTAAAAGACAAACTGCTCATAGAAAACAGCTTGTAGTGGTTTTCAAGGCCTTGCTTCACCACACTAACATGAAAAAAGAAATAGATATAGTCGTGTCGTCCTGCAGACTCACTGACCCAGTTTATTAAATCTTCCAGAGATGAAGAAGTATGCGTACAGGTCTCCGGGGTCTTTCGTCTGCTGACTTCTCCTCCACTTCCTGTTTCTTTACACTCATTTACCATCAGTCCCTATCTTACCCTCCACTCCACTTTTCTTCTTTATCTCTTCAAGGCACGCAAACTTACTTGTATGCATGACGTTTCTTGCTATAGACTACAGTATGTCAAGGTGTGTGCAGATGTTAGCTGTCCAGGAAATCCCCGCAGAGAATAAAAGCAGCTCAGAAATCAAAAGAAAAAAAAAATACTGAAAGCATTCATCAAATGCAAAACACATACACGTGTGTGCACAAAAAAATACACCAAATTGTCTGTTTAATGTTTTCATTTGCAAGGTTTTGTGCATCCGCTGCCAGGGAAAAGGCCTGTAGGCATGTTTACTGAATCTTCCAAGTTCCTGTAAAACCACTGGATACCTGTGCAGCGGCGTGCATGTGCGGAAGTTTATGTATTCCCAAGACATGAGTCATGAAGCTGGATTTTCAGCACATTATTATTTCACCCTAACCAACTGTGTATCATAAAGTCAGTGTGTTTTGAGCCCTTGCCTAACAGTTTGAGTTTAACTACTGCTGTCATTAAAGTGCGAGTTATTAAAACTAACAATGCTTCAATCACAGACCATAAACCAGTAGATATAGAGAGTCCAGGCCAGCGCCAAGGCTCAGATGGGAGATATAAAGGGAAACAGACATGAGGAGCCAGAGCTAGAGGCAAACCTTTTCAGCGAGCTGTCGGCTGAGTGTTTGGTACTGGAGGCTGGCCGGATCAGCAAGGCTCTCGTTGTACATTTCTCCTGACAAGAGGATGCTTAGCTCCACAACCTGCTCCAGCGGAGCAGGAGTAGGCGGTTGTACGGTTATATCATTGTAAAGCTGAGTAGTGAGAAAGAGATAAAGACGCACTTTAGTTAAGGGCAAATGATCAATCCCAGTCTGCAAGCAATCTGTGTTTACACTCACAGGACTCTCCTCTACTCCTGGTGAAATGGCAGGGGAATCCTCCTCCTTGTTTTCAGCTGTGTCTTCTAGGTGGTTAAGTTCATATGCAAAAGAAAAAGAGATTGTCGGTTTATTTGAGGTGGATGTCAGCTTAAACGTTTGGCAAGTGCCATGATTAGTGATAGTTATATGGATTAGACTGTCCTTACCCTGACTTCTTGCTAAATCTAAGGGTCAGCTGACCTAAAGCCAAGTTCACATACCGAGCACTTAAGGATGCACACTCCAAAATACAAAACTGCACACTAGACACGGGCCAGACACAAAAACAGCAAATCTATATCAGGGTGGTTAAAGAAAAGGGGGATTTTTGCTACAGATGCCAGTATAATCAGGTAAAACACTGACCTAGCTCAGGAGCTTCAACGGATTCTGGTATGTCTGGTGTTGGAGTGCTGTGAAACACAGGAGGATCATGTTAGCGACGCCGATACAACGTTACACAATTATGATATAATAAAAAGGCAATAAGCACAACTATTAATGGTTTATGCACACTGCATGTAGGGTCGGAATAAGAAGTTAATGGAAGCAAATCCAGTTTCCCAGTGTCTGAAAATTATTGAAGGTTAGATTTTTGTCTATTAATTTAGTTTGTTAAAAAAAAGATTTAAAAAAAGAAAGTATAGCCAGAGAGGCAAAGACTGAGATCCAAGCAAGTCAGAAGCAGTCAAGCTATTTTTAATTGTTTATTTAAATTAGATAAACTGTTGCACCATTGGCTAACAGGACTCAACCATATCGATATATAATCACTACACTAAAAAAATAAATAAAAAAATTATTTCTTAACTTCCTTTCAACTAATTTAATTACTTGTATATTTTGTATGCAATTTTGTTACAGAAGTACAGAGTAAAATGTTAAATTTATGGAATCTTGTCAAATGAAATGTACTGGATTTGCATAAATTTAGAGCATCTGAATAAATAAACCTTTGATTTTATATATTTCACATGAATTTGACTTTGTGTTTTTGGGGGGGTAAAAAAAATATTTTTTAAGTGTGCTGTTCAAATGAGCTGTAAAAGATAATAATTATATTATTCTGGGGGGAAAAAACATGTGATTCACGTGTTTACCAAATACCTTCAAACATTTGGTGAAATCGATGCTGTTTATACAACTGTGAATGTTACTGCAGACACATTGTTTGGCATTTCTGGGCACGATGGGGAACATGTGATATCCAAATCATGTGCATGTTGCTAACATTTGATTGAGGACTAGGGGAGATGCATGTATTACGAGGTCCTAACTTTCAAAACCAAATTTTGTACCAACTCAAACTCACTAACCAAGAAAAGGTAAACATGTTCCACGTTCAGTAATTTCAGGTTGATTTCTCAAAGCCTTCAGCAGATACGTCAACGATTTTTTTTTTTAATTCCCAAGATAATCCTGAGTCAGTTTTAGGACGGCTGGTTTAGTGGTTTCTGTTTAAAGCGTCAAAAAAAATTGTTTTTATGAACATGGTGAAACAAAATGGGTTTTTTTTAATAAAAATCTCATATTCTTTAAACATCAGACAGCAAAGATGTAGCTGGAGTAAGAAAAAATAAAATGATGGAAGACAGCTGACCTCAGGCCAAGCCATTTTACAGAACACTGCAAAGACAAACTGGAGTTTCAGAGTCTGAGTCAAACTTCATGTTTCCACATGACATGAATAATAAAAAACGATGAGAATTATAACAGGTACGGTTGTATCTCAACAGCTTCTTTGCTTGGACCCCTGTTAATATTATCATTTAAAGAGGGAACTCAAACAGACAGTGAGCATAAAGACACATACCTAAATCTATGACACATAAATGAAAAAAAAAAAGAAGCCAAAACAAATAAATGTGAAAAATCATGTTTGATAAGTGATGAGTGGGAATATGAACAGGTAAGGTTGAAGAGCTTTGACAACCTTACCTGCACATATGTTGCCAGGACCTGGTGGGCTCACTACAGATAGTGGTAAAAGTGACACATTTACAAAACACAGACTTAATAATGAGATCATGAACGCATCATTAAAAGGTCACTTTGGGGAAAACAAAGCAGAGAGTTTCTTTTACCTCTTCAAACTGGGCAGCGACATTCTCTGGAAGTGGAAAACAGTTTCATGAGCCAGCTCCAGAGAAAATCATGTTTTGTACTAATCGCATATCATTTTATTGTTATTTAGTTACCTTTTTAGCCAGAGTCTGATGCTCCTCTGACGTACTAAAGTAGCTGCCAATATCCCGTGCAGAGACTATGCCCTCCTGACATCGACTCATCCAGCTTTGGTACTCTTCTTGCTCTGGGAGGCGGTCCCAGAAGATCTTAAATGCCTCCCATATGGTCTCCTGGCACACTGGTTAGACCAGAGAAAGACAGCACCCTCTTAAAAAATAAATAAAACTTTCTTTCATAGTAATGTTTTCCAAGTTATTTTTATTGGGGTGAAACTTGAACCCTAACTTAAATGTATGCTTGTTTGACAAGGAAACCACGACACACGTTCATTAGCTGAGAAATAAGATCATATTTTATGAGTTTGACTCATTTATAATCTTGATATCATTAGTTAGAGTTTCTGGGGGCCCAAGCTAAATCATAAATCTATCCATTTCCACGTTGATGTCGTGATATAACTCTCATGAGTCAGCCTACTGGGCGCTGATCCAAAATCAGTGCACAGACATATGCTCCAATCTTCTTCTCTAATTAACAGTGTCCACAAGGCTGCAGTGATCACTTCTAAATCCATATCTAACTTGCATAACAAACCTGCCCATGCACACATATAAGAAAGAGCTAAATGTCTGTTTTTACTATAACTTTTGGCTTTTTAGAAAAAATCTTTTTTTGTTGTTGTTTGTGTAATATTTGTATTTTTTGTCTGCGTGAATTGCTAATTTCATGAACTATTCCAAGCAAAGTACTTTAAAGCAGCATTACCTACTAATATGCAACTTGGCTGCCAAATTGCATTGTGGGTTATTGGTAGATAATATAAAAATATATAATGCAGTGCTAAATTGTGCAATAATCCTTTAAAAGCACACCAGAACTCGTCGGCAGGGCTGGTAAGATGCAGTGTAGGTAACAACGGCTTCTTTTAATGGAGACCTGATGTTGTGTAGATGCTACCAGTGTGTGTGGTGTAATGTTATTTCAGTAAATGGGCCCAATAAGTGGAGCAATCTGTTTTGATACAAATCTAATGAAGTCTAATTGAGTCTGATGGATCTTATTGCGTAAACACAGCAAAGGTTAACTCTCTCGTCCACTGAAGAATCAAATCTTTTCACACTGTAGACACGCAAAGGGGAAGATACAGAGGGGGCAATCTCTCAAAATCAGTTTGTTTGTTCTTTTTGGTGCCATCTTCACACCTTGGTGTGACAGTGACAATGAAACTCCATTTACAATATTCATTTTTAACACTGATTCACACTGGGTCTTACCTCTGAGATGAAAGTAGCTCAGATGGTTTGCAATGACTTGCTCGGCGGTCTCTTGCGCACACAGTTTGACTCCACTTGGAAAAAGGATGTTCCTTTTCTGTCGAGAGATAACCGCGTGGCTCTCACGCGATGGCTTCACCTCAGATATGTGAGTGATGCGTGGAAACACCACAGGCTCCTGAGTATAAGGCAGATCAAGGTATCCCATAGAGGAACCTTCCATCATTGCATCTGGGGTGCACAACAACAACAAAGTTTAAAATATAGAGTTTGTGTGTGCATTTAGGTAAGTAGTGAACGCTTGATTTTTAAGTCAACTAATGCCACGTACCTGTCTTTAGGTCCAGAAATATGACCATTAAACCAAACACAGCAGGGTAGAAAACACATTTCCACGAGAGGATGCTCATGTTAAATCCGTGATTGTGCTTAGATCCGTGGCCTTGGGAAAGGATCAAGGAGATACGTGTTTCGTCTCAAGTCACGCAACAGCAGTAGGACAAACTGAGTACGAGTTTGCATATTTCAGAATTCTCCAAAGAAGACCCCAAAGAATAAGAGAAGCCCAATCACAAACCATTTGCTGACACAGTCACACTGTGGGCTCGCGCTTTCCTCTGTGCCCGGGGAGAGGTGTTTCCCATGGTGCTGAGAGGACAGCTCCTGGCTCAGGTAGATAGGCAGATGGCACTTGAGAGAGAGGAGGATTTTTTAATGCTCTCTAATCCTGTTTACAGTAAGTCTTTTAGGAGAGCTCACCAAGAAGTTACTGGAGCAACACTGGGAGGGGAGGGTACTTAGTGTGGAGGAAACGTGGTCAGAGAGGAGGTAACAATGGCTACATAAAGGCCAAAGAGCAGCCACATGTACTCTATGTATGTAGAGGAATGTGAGGCAGGTTAAGGATTGAGTTGGCCATTAAGGTCATTTTGGGGAAAAAAAGAGTCCCTTTAACTGGCAGTCACCCAGTTAAATGTGCACTCAGATACATGAGCTCAGGAGATGACATTTAGCCACTTGCTATTTTGATGGGGTTTAAACAGTTTTCAAACTGGAAATCTGCTACTTCTTACCTTTGAGTAGACCAACTTTTTGTAGCATTTACAAAGAGTGCTTGAACACAGATTTGGAGGTTGAAATTAAAATAATATGCTCCTTAAGCAAAAGTAAGTAAATAAATATATTGTTAATTATTGTGATATTTAAAACGTGGGTCATGTAATCTCTCATATAATCTTAGATTTGCCTAAAAATGTGAAATTTTAGCTTCATATACCAAAATGCTTTGGGGTTTGTTTTTTTTACATTTTAAAATCTGAGGCATCATCAAAACAAACAAGCAAACAAAAATTGAATAATAAACAATCTTTAAAAAAAATCACATTGCTAAGGACATTTAGTGATACTTTCTGGGACGCAGGTAAATCTCAGAATAATTTGAAAAAAGAAAAAACATGAAATTCTTAGTCACAAACTAAGATCATACTGGATTGAGAAAATATGTGCAGCAGATAGTTTAACTCAAACAGAACAGAATGTTGGAGTTTCCAGAATTTCATATCACAATTCCTAGGTGACGTCTTTCTTAACACCTTCAGAAAATCTCTCTGAAGATTTTCAGAGTTTTCAGTTTGAAAACTCTTACGTTGCCTTGTTGGGTGACAACAATATCCCATCACCCTTTAATGGCTGTGGGGTAACAAGAATCCACTACTGACAATAACATAGCGTGTGTGCCAACTCACCAGTCAAAATAAAACGCTTCACAATGCACCAGTTTGTAAATCATTCTTCACAAGGACCAGACTGGGCTTATTAACTTAAGAAATTTAGTTTCAAATATAAACAGCAACAAAAAAAAGACACATCAGAACAAGCATAATTTTTTCTACAAGTTTTAATATACAAATGAAACCAAATGTATTTTGGAATCAGTTTCTGTACATTCATCTGACAAAATAAAAAATAAAAAAAAAATCCCAAAGAGAACACCATAAAGGTGTTACACAAGAAAACGACAACTGAACAATCTGGCAAAAAGGGAAAACTGAGAACATTAATAAAGGACTGAATGGGTCTTCAGCAGGTCATCGAACGTTACACATGCCAGCGTGTGCGCCCTTAAACTTTTTTTTGCGAGGTGTATTCATGTTAAATTCATAAAGTTATCTATTAACCAGGACTTGAAATTCATTTTGCAGGACAAACCCAGGCAGGATAACAGCACAGGCCAGTGAAGCAATTTGATATGAAAGCAATGGCAATTTTGCACTTAATTCCTTTCCTACTGTGTTTCAAACAAGAACATCTGTTTATTTTTCACAAAGAAAAGAAAAAAAAATTGGCCGATATATCAGATTAGCAGACTTTTTTCAAATGAAGTATTGGTCGGGCTCTACAGAGAATCACAGACACACACTGTTATACACACTTTAACTTAATTAGAGAAGTGGGTGACTGCCGGGTCTGTCTGTAGCTGGGAGGGAGAGGCACAGTCCTGTGGTTTCAAATCATATATTTTTCTAATGAAATTCAGTAAGAAAACTCCTGTCTATTAAATACCACACCGACACTTCTTACATTATGTCTAAAGTAAATCTCATCTAATAAAACTTTGATACAAAAGAAGGCAACATCAGGGACAACCTGGATAACAAAAAACACACAACTGAGATCTGAGCTGAACTGAACTGTCAGTCGGATAATACACGAAATGTCTACCGGATGCCAGCAAGCTGAATTCAAACTACAAAAGCTTAAAAGAAACCAAAGATCTAAGCAAGTGGGATCCTAATAGAACTTTTAAAAAAATATTTTTTTAAATATATCACTTTGCAAACTAAGTTTTACCACTGTTATGCTTTCACACATTATCTGCTTGGGCATACTACATAGAAAATTGAATTTTAATATTTCTTTATAAAATAGTTATCAGTATAAAAACAAACAGTAAAAAGTCTGGATTGATTTGTGTGTCTAGATATGCTTTTATGTTTTTCTGCCCTTTATTTTTAATTAGCCAATTCTTTTATATTCACTAATAGGACCCCCAGGTAGTCAAAGGTTTACATTTTCAAGTTAATGCATAAAATAAAAGAATCTGCTTTAAAAGAAATATTTTCAGTTCACGCTGAAATGACTGTTGCTCAGTATGAGCAGTGATTTTTAATGGCTACAGGAATGTGATGTGCTCAACCGCTCAGCTGCTTTCCTAGTCTATTATCCAGGTTCTGATGTCGGTAAAGGTTAAGTACAAGATCTCGGATTTCATCTCGCTTCCTTCGCACCTGCTGCCGTGAAAACCATTGTTCTAGGTGTAGTGGGAGGTCAAAGTGCACCACGGGGTCCTGAAAGCAGAAGCAGAATTAATTATGCTGTCCTTAAACGCATTATTAGCTAAACTAAATGTGACGTTAAAAAAGTGCTTTACCTTCAAAAAGCACTCAACGTATTGTAGCAGGTAGAGGCCACAGTCGCTGCTGTTATCCTGAAGGGGGACGTGGCAGTGTGAGCTTTTCATCTGATCAGGACCAAAGTCCCTCGGTGACCCACGACGCACCTCCCATTCTGACTGCAAGTATCTGGCAGACAAATGTGTCATTAAAAAAAAATAAAAATACAATAAAATTTCACACAGACCCATACCCATGCATACCCAGCTTCAGAATTGTGGGTTTAAGGTGTCATACTTACTCCCGCAACAGTTTGAAGACTCGTTCATGAAGAGAAAGTTTAAGGGAATCCATGATAAGAATACACGGCCTACAGAGAGGACAGACAGCTGCAAGTCAGTGTTTACTTTTACATCAAGCTTTCATTTGTGAAGTCTTTTTGTTCAGATGTGTTTAAATACCCAGAGACCAGGGGGGAAACCACATAAACTTCCAAAACACACAAAGACCATTGCCTCTTTTCCGCAAGTGCCTACTTGGCTCAGCTCAGCTGTTAGGGGTTTTACATTAAGTTATAGTACCTTTTTAACCACTGTTGTAAATACATAAATTCCTGCACCATCTCATAGTATAAGAGCCATATCCCTATTATTTAACTGTGTTGTTTATTATTCTGGATTGAACACTGTACTATTTTTACTCTTTATCATGCTGCTGTAGCACAAAAATTTCCCTTGTGGGATCAAAAAGTATCCAACCATCTACCTGGTAGCAGGTATTTATTAGTACCTGCTCAGCCGGGGCTCCAAACAAGCCGAGTCGCTCCAAAGATGTGACATCATACTGCATGCCACCGATTGGTCGGTCAAAGGCATCACTCGATGACTCATGAGACCAACTCCTTCACAAAAATCTAAACCACCATTTTTGAAGCCCAGCAACAAGGGAAACCAACACAGTGAGCGGCATGTTGAACTGAACTCAACGGGTTAAATCAGCCAGTGGTGGCTGACCAGTAACTGTCGACGATGCTTATGACTTCATTAGACGTATGTTGGAAGCAGCTTTCTGCTTAAACATATGCGCCTAATACATTTTGGATAGAAGTCATGTCAAGCTACACAAAGCAGATGAGCCTGGCAGGAAGTCACACACAGCCACAATTTAGAGCATTGGGCTGCTTTTCCTAATAAAACACCCCATCTAGACCCACCCTACTAAACCATTATCAGTGCATGAACATAAATGGTGTTAAGAGGTCAGAAAACAGATGATCAGAGGACAAAAGGAGTTTCTTTTTAGAATATGGACTAAAAAGGTGTAAAAACTCACCTTTTGCAAACTGTCTTCTTTTGCCACGTCAGCTCTGTACAACTCTACAAAGACAAAAATAGACTGAGCTGGTTTGCAGGAACAAACAGACACTTTTAAATATTCTTATATGTAACTGAATTATATCTTACTACTGGATTAGGTGGTGAATCTTTGGTGAATTCTTCCTGGGTATTTTCTAAAAGACACGAAACGACACACAATGATTACCTTCACCTTTCTGTCGTCACTGGTATAAACACCACATATAAACACCAAAGACAAAGAAGGCATGAGTCAAAAATACCTGTGTCTGTGTCTATATTGTCACTGCGCATATGTGATTTCTCCACATCATCATTAAAGCTTTTACTTCCTTGCGCATCATCTTGACTCTCAGACTCCTCCGTCACGTCGCTGCTCTTTCCTGTCCAGCCCTCGATTTTAGGCTCACCCAGTCCGGGAAAGCAAATGACAACTAAATACCAGTGAGCTCTAAATGGAGAGAGTCATGTGATGTGTTTAACAGCTTTACTGAAAATTAAAAAGAGAAGAAAACTGTGCAAATAACACCTCCTGTGCTGAACTTACTCCTGATTGACAGGTACAAACAAGAAGTCCTTTTTGAAGATGTCGACGTGTCGTGTCCATGTCTTCACGCGTTGGTGCCGCCTCTGTCTTTGACAGCTGAATACAAACAAAAATAAAAACAATAAAAACATTTTTGGAGTCGTGCCTGTAACATGAATCTTGATTACAGGACATATCAGGTCTAAATACATTAAACATGCAATCTATTAAGCATTGCATTTTGGTCTTTGAAGCTTAGATGGTGTAGATGTGGACATCTACACTAATGACCAATGCATCCAACTCAAAAGGTACTGTAGGTTATAGAATAGAATAGAATGCCTTTATTGTCACTATACAGTTGTACAATGAGATACAGAGCATTCGGACGTAGCTTTGCCGCTGCTCTAGGTGACTCAGCACAGCGTGGAGGGCTCTGGCGATGGCGTCTTCTGTGGATCTGTTTGCACGGTATGCAAACTGGTGGGGGTCAAATTCTGGGGGGAGGTAATTCTTGATGTGCTGAAGGACTAGTCTCTCAAAGCATTTCATGA